GCTATATGTAATCACACGGATGGAGCTGTGTGAGGACCGGGGCGTGGACAAGTGTGGTGCGCGTGGCGTGGGGCGCGGTCGGGCGGCGGGGGAGAGCGGGGGGGGGGGGGAGTGGGCCCGGGGCAGGGGTTGGGGGGGTGGCGGGGGGGGGGGTGGGCAGTCTCAATTTTTTTTTTTCGGCCCTTCGGGCCTCAGTTTGCTCTATAAATAAGGTGGAGGCCCTCCCCTGGATCCTACACTGGTTAGGAGTTTTCTCACCCAAAAGAATTGAAATGTAGGTCTTGCTTGCTATTTTCGTCATCCGTGGGAGAAAAGTGTTCCAATAACTGTTTATGTGTCATAATGTAACTGGATGGAATTAATTGTGGGGATGCAGAGGATTCCACAACCCTTAAATACTGCCGATAATTAAAGCCCTCATCCGTCCCCCTCCAGGCCCTCCCCGCCTTCTTGCCACTAAGCAAATGGGGCTTGTAATCTGGAAGGTTATAAGCCGGACGTTTATCCAGCTGGTACATCCAGATAGCACTTACGTTGGGGCAAGGATCTTACACTGATCTTATATTACATGACCTGAAGACTAAGCACTGAAGCTAGCAGATGACCAAGCAGATGGCAATATAACCGTTCAAGAAAAATTGAAATGATTTGAATTGACTTCCGCCGGAACAGCATACAGGGGTGGGTGAGAAAACAATAAATGAACAACCAAAACTATGACCAGCTAGCCCTGAACCATGAGTGCTTCGAATGAAGAACGGATAAAGTTAGAGCCGGTTCAAAGAGGGTCATGACAGCTGTGTCGAAGTTGCAACTAATCTCGCGTTGACTCCTCTGTCGGGGCAAATATCAGTTTTATAAAAGACACCAGCACTTGAAATATTTATATTACAATTTATTTCCTTTTATCCCCAGCTCAGTAGTGCACCGTCATCATTACAGTTTGAATACAGGACTACCTGTTGAATAATACTAGTATTGTTACCATGATGTTAAAAATCTTCACTTTTTTCCGGTTCCGTGACTTAGGTCTTAGGTGTTAGGTCTTAGGCACGAATTGTATTAAAATAAAATTCGTGCCTCTTAAAACTTGGGAAGACGCCGCGGGTGTTCTTTTTGTGAGATCTTCTAATCTTGGTATTGAAGACATCAAATCCTGCCCTTTGTTAATTGGTGTATTTTATTTTTGTCTTCCTGATAAAATTTTAAAGTTATAATTTTGTTTCAAGGGCTCCAGGATTTTGTAGTATTTTTACTACTTTTCTTTTCATTTGTATTGCATTGTACGTCACTTCCGCGATTCAAGGGAAAATAGTCACACTTCATTGTTCATTCTATGACGTATACAACGCGTCATCCGCGTTCCAAATTCGATCAGTTGTAGCTAGAATCGTGGGTCATATGTTTTTGTAGATCAAGTCAGGTTTTATCCGTTTTCTCCTCTGTTTGACAGTAGTAACATGTGGGAGAGCATCAAAGGTTTTTTTCGACGGCACAGAAGAAAATTTCTGGTGACTGGAGTTGTCATTGGCGGAGTTTATTTGCTGGGTCGCTACGCAAGATGGCGTCTGGCCGAATGGCAACGACAGCGTGAAATGGAGTACGTCGAACAAGCAAGAAAACAACATCACTTCGAAAGCAATCTTAGAACTTGTACAGTAACTTTGTTCTCACTAGTACCAAGTTTACGGGATGCACTGATGGAAAAGCTGAACTGTGAAACTATAACTTCGAAGCTTCGCGAAAAACCTGCAAACAAGCTCGAACTTTGGGAACAGCTCAAGATTTTGAGCTTCACTCGCACCCTTTCGTCGATCTATTCTTCGTGTATGCTGTTTGTGTTTTTAAGAGTTCAGCTTAACATTGTTGGAGGATATTTATATTTAGACAGTTTGATACCTACGGCAGAAAACTCAAACGGGAGGCAAGTTCACATTGGTGAGGGCTTGCAGAAAAGATACCTCGCCCTTGTGAGATATCTCCTTGGAGATGGGCTTGATTTCCTTTTAGAAAAAATCAGACGATCTGTAGAAGGTAAAAATTGCCAAAAATTTCTAATATTTTATGTCAGTGCCAAATGTAGCTAGGGATTAAAAATCACGCTTCCTGAAGAGATGGTTAAAAGTGCATCAGTCAATAGTTGTTTTTGAATACATTACATCAGGAGCTCCTGATTACATACTTTTTCAAACACTGTGGTCTTGTGATAATCCCTTCACTCTCGTTGTGTTGGTTCCCATGCTGTACCAGCCCCTGCAATACTTATCGATGTCTCCTCTGAATCAAATATACTGTAGCCGCACACTTCAAATCTTTGAAGTGGTTATATGCCCAGAAGAAAGTGATGTCTCGCTTTTTCAGCTTGATAATAAGTGGCTGTAATACTGAAAGGCAATGTGGTAACCAGGGTAATTTTGAATTAGCATTGAATACCACATGTAATGGGCTATTTGCCTTGCTATTGATGTCAGTGTCCAGATGCAATAATATATTCATAATATATAATATAATATATTCATGTCCATGCAGTTCCAGATAATTTCCTCAAATTGATTTGCAAACAGCCCCTCACTTGACATAGCTTCTAGTGCTATTAGACAAGTATTGATTGAAAGTGCAAAAAAAAAAAATCATGCACTTCATGGCTTTCAACCTGGCACTGTGCTTTGCATAAGCTGAGCAATGTTGTCCTGCAGACCTCTTGCTGATCTTCATTATAATTACAATATTGTAACCTTCAATATAGCAGTAGCTACGCCACTGTGGGAGGAGAGAATTTGATAATCATAGCCTTCTGGGAATTGAGGAATCTGAACCCTAACTTGGATTTCTGGTCATGTATCTTGTTCCTTGCATAGAGTGTTTTTACATGATGTTACGACAGCCATATTATTGTACCAAGACAGCCCTGTGGGATTTGAACTCTTTTCTCATGTAAATGCTTTCTTTTTTTCCAGTAAATTATGATCACATCAGTGAAAACGCTCTATAACGCAGACACCCCTGTAATGTGGATGCTAGGTTCTGTTTCGTTGGTGTCTATATTAATGAAGTAAATTTAGGAATAATTTTACATATGTGTCTTCCTTTTTGCCCACCTGTTATAATGCTCTTGCAAGGTACTTAAATATGATGTATGTAAATATGATTTCTAATAGATATCTATTAATTTTTCAGACATTTTAGGTGAGGTCTCCCTGAAAGAAAAGTTTAGCCACACAGAAGTAACAAAACTTGTTGGTCATATCAGGCAATCAATAGAGTTCTCAAATCACAGCATACCCATCAAAAGAACATCGCCAGATGCTCCAAATGGCACAGTTAAGAATGGCCACCACCGAATGCCTCTTCAGAAGTACATGCTTCCATCAGATATTGAGAGTTTATGTGATTCCACTGGTGAGGGAGAAGATGATAACTTCAGGAATTTAGTTGGAGAAACTCTTGATATTTTGGACAGTGAGGATTGCGATACAGTGTTGAATAGGTGTTTGGATGCAGGGTTTTCTCATGTTATGAGCAGCATGATTCCTTTCTTTCAGGTTGAGGAGCTAGGTAAGTTGGGTAATCACAGAAAAGAACCTCTGCAAGGTCCAGTGAGGTCAGTTAATTAATACAGTGCAGTCTCAAGAAAGTTAGGCATTTCCTGCAGTAACTGGAAACACTGGTTTCCTCTTACATGATTTTGTTTAGTTGTACCAGAATTATTTTACAATGTTTAGAAAGCTTTATTTTCAGCACTGGCTTGTATAATAATGTCTTCTCATACAGTTTACACCATGGTAGACATTTGTATAATATTTAGTAATAATTGATGTACATAATGTACAATGAATTCTAGAGAAAGTCCGGAAGTTTGCACAGCAATTTTCCAGACCTGGAAGAAATCAAGATAATAGAGATAAAATCTGAAAAAAATGGTATAAAGTCATGATTTGCTTTTTTTTTCAAAGCTACAACAAGTGCTTTATATTAAGTGAATTTTTTTCCGTTTTGGTCAAATCTTTTTCAATCATGCCCGTACGTTTGCAGTGCATCATGAAAAAAGCTTTTTTCCAGTGTTTTTTAAGGCCTGTATTGATCAACTGTTTAATAATAACCTCGAGTCTGGAAAAAGAAATTATTGTTTTGAAAAAAGTCTGGAAAAAGTCTTAAATTGTGGATCCAAAACCTGTACTTGTATACCTTGTAATGAGCTCTAAATTCATACACTGGGAAGTAGGTGGAAGGCAACCACTCATTAATATCTTCAGTATTTGCTGTCCTTAAAAAAGATTGACTAACTGTAGATCACTAATTTTGTTTATACTGCTACTTTTCTTTGCAGAACTTGGTGCTGTTGGTGGAATGGAACGTGAACCATCACTAGATCTTCCATTGGCAAAGGTCATTCCTATTGTAAATGGGCAGATCAACCACATTCTGTGTGACTCAGATAACAGTTATTTCCAGGAGCTGTTCAAAGTTGGTTGTGCCAGGGAATTTGCAGCTAATGTTTATGAAGCATTTAGCCTTGAAATTGACTAGATAAACACTTCATTTCCAGCTGACTTAGACAACTACCATACATCTTTGAGTACCATTTGTTACAATTAGTGGTGGGAATCGGTTGAGATTTCACAATCGATCATCGGAAATAATCGGATTGCTCCAATCGATCGATCGTCAATTATAATCGGAAAAATCTACCAGTAAGCATTCCAAGATTACATTGCAGCAGTTCAAGTGAGACTGACACAAAATCAACAAAACACACGTGCCACAAACCTTTGTTGGCGTATTTCGTTCTGCAGAGCCTACAGATTACCTTCGTCATATCCAAGTTTTCCTTTGTTTTGGGCCCTTCCTTCAGTTGATAAAAACCAAAATATTCCCGCACGTTTGACCTGGCGTTTCCAGGATAACGACAGATCTCCAACTCGGCCATTTCAGCCGCCATGTTAGACTCGTCAGCAAGATGTAAGGGAGGCAGGTCTGAGAGAGGACCCTGGAAATCGCTGCGATGTTGTTTCTTAATACCTTTCATTCGCTAGTGATAGTAGTGATACTACAAACGCGAAACAGTAAGCTAGTAATTTATGGTTTGGTTCAGTTGTTTACGAAATGCAAAGCAGCTTAGCATGCCACATCTTTCAAATAAGCGTGGCGTATTTGAAGTGACAACAACACAGCGCGCAGGGTACGCAAAGGTAAACACCTTCAATCTTAGATTATATCTGCTGTTATGACTTAGAAGTTAGAAGTCCACGAAAAAGACAACTCACATAAACGTACATTTTTATTGATTTTAATACTTTTATTTGTCACCAATAAATTTTTAATTTTTCCGCGACAATCGATTATGAAAAAAGCATAATCGATTGTCGCGTCGCTTAAACTTTTCGATCAACTTTCGATTATAATCGATCATCGGCCCACCACTAGTTACAATAAATTATTACAGTGGAACCCTGCCTTAAGGCCACACCATTTATACGACCACCTTGTCATTACAAGCATATTCTTTCCTCCCAAACCTAAAAAACACTGAGTCATTTCGTTTTTTTGAAGAGCTCGTTAATGCAGCCACCTCGCTATTACGGTAACGTCCAGGATTTTATTGCCCAATGGTGGTTGCATTAACGGAGTTCCACTGTATCGTTATTGTTATTTGTTAATTAGCCTTTTCTATTGTTTCGTCTAAGAAGAATCTTTCAACAAAGACATTATACATGTATAGTAGTATTATTTATTATATTGTGTGTAGGCAACTAATGATAATTATTATTCAGAGTCTTTGGTGCTTCAAAATGTAATTTCAATTTAAGAATTTCTAGAGTTTTCCTGGGCTTCCCTAGTTAGTACAGTGCGAAAAGCCAAAAATATATGTCATAAAATTCAGTAAAACTGGGAAAGATTTGAACCCAGGAGTCATTTCATAAGTAGGTTGAGTATGATCGTTTGGGTGAATGTAGTCCTGTTGTTGACAATGACTGACGTTTCGACAACCTGTGCAGTAGTCATCTTCAGAGTCAGAGTGATTTGTATCATGTCAGTTGATGGTATTTAACTCTGGTTATTGACCTGATTAGTAAATTAAGTCGCGATGTAGCTACTTTCTCATGTCTGTGAAGTAGCTACTTTTTCTTGTGATTTTTTTGTTCATGATCTTATAACAATAATTTATGACACAGTAAATTAAAGCTGGTTTTGTCTGAGGGTTAGATATGTAGGAAGAAAAATTTGCATCAAATGATAATTCTCATAAATTTACCTGTCAGTTTGATTAAGTATGATAACTGTCAATAAGAAACTTAAGATGAAAAAGGGGTGGAATTTTAAAGTACTTAACAGATATACATGTTATGTTTCAATTTTATCCTTGGTTTAAAATTTTATTTTCCTTAGTTTTAAACTCATTATCATACATTACCATACCCCAAACAAAGGGAAATAAAATTTAAACCAAGGATAAAATTGAACCACAACATATACATTATTTTAAGATGCGTAACAGTGTCACTGTACATGATGTATGTGTTATATAACGTTCATGCTGAAGGAAATATGTATTTTAGAAAGTAATCACACTTAGGAAGTATATTGATAGTAGTATGGCAAGTCGTAATGTATTGTCTTTCTGTAACTATATGAAATGATATGGATTTTAAATAAAGAAGTAGATTATTAGTCGTTTACGGACGTGTTTGTGTCCATTCAGTTGGCTTGCTCACACCCTTGAATACCCCCCAACCCCTTTATCAGGTAATCCAAGACAGTCTCGGATCCTGGATTCTACACCGTGGATCTGGATCCCTTGTCAGTGGAACCTGAATTCCGGACTCTGAATTCCCTGACCTGGAAGCGGAATCCAAAGCCAGGAATTTTGGATTCCAAAGCAAAAACTCCCCTGGTTCGGAAAGGAATCCGGATGTCCTTGCATGCTTTATCAGAATATGTTTTCCAGGATTTAGAGCTTTATAGGTGTATACTTCAGCTAATGGCATCAGGTTGAGCCCTTTGGTAGTGAAAACCAAAGTTTATTACGAGAACATGAAACTCTAACATGCCGGTGACCGTTCAAACAAAAACTTCAACAATAGTACTTCCACACGGGCTAACATCACAATTGAATCACAAGTAAACAGAAGTAAAGAGCGCGCTAGTCACCTGCGGATCCTAACGTAAGTTTTACGTAACACTCGAACCAGAAAACAAAGAGCGCGCGGTTCACTAACATAACAGTAGTTATGCTGGGTGCAACACCGCGGCAAAACGCACTGCGCATGAGCACAAAATTTAATATCCGGTCAGCTTTTTATTTCCGGTCATAAACCAATTGCGTAAGCATGACATTGCCGTCGCACCAAGTTTAAAAGCAAAAAGGGCGAAACAGACAAAAAAGGGGGCCAAAAAAATCACTTCATTCGAAAGCTTATATATTTTTCTAGTGTCAAACTTTTGCACCACATGGTTATCTGTTTGCACCAACGGTGAAAATGATGTTTGAAGTTTGCAGGTCGCGAGCGCTCGACAAGAAGACGTCATCATTAAGTTAACACTGGAATCAGGAAATAAAATTTTAGTCTGTTCAACAACTTTTTTATTATCAGAGAAAACAAGAACTCAAAACAAAAGATGTGCGGGATTTAATAACAACCTCGCCTTTGATGACTGCAGTCACGAACACCCGGAGCTTTCAGTGCCGGGAAACTAAACATGCCTATAAAGACTTTCATTCAAGAAAATGCCTATTTAATTCTTTTACATGGTTGTTCTTTGGTTGTTCTTTGGTCGGTGAAGACTTCAATAATTTCAGACTGTGCGGCTCGGCTGCATCTCACGCAAACACCAAACTTTCAGCTACTAAATACATGGCATGAAATTTCGACTTCTAAAAGCCATCGAACCAGCTTTCGCTCTCTGATTCTGAGAATGAAAAAAATAAATAGAGTTGTCAACTTGCAGCCAACTTCAGCAGTATAATTAAGCTAATGTTTCATGGCAATCAACTCAGAAGAGTTTCGTTTCAAAACACGAAAATAAAAAAATAAAAAATAAAGCTCGAATCTGCTTTAAGGTATTAAGACTGAGAAACGGAAGAACTGAAAATTAGAACTACAATACACAAGCTTGCAACGATAACTTTTTATGTCTTAGTTTTAGCCAGGTTAAGTGAAAAATAACAGTCAAAAACTTTGTTTTCGTGAATGAAAATCAGTTTACCTGACGCTCTAGCCAAAATTACACACCGAGTTATTATCAACTTACCTTTTCTGAATCTAATCGACTAATTGTTTCAGTGATCTGTGCCTGGTTATCCATAAAAGCAATTGCAATAACTACGAAATAGTCAAAAACACGAGCAGCATGAAGCAGAACAACTCAACCACAAGCTGCACGGTAGCACATAGAGTGAAGCCGAGCGCGCGCGGGAGACTATTTGATCTGACTGGAAAGTGTGACTGAAAAAGAGACCGGAAATGCTCAACCTGGCGCATGCGTAGACGTTTTGCCGCGGTGTTGCTGGGTGCCCGATCATGCGCGGTTTCCGGTCTCACTCAAGTCTTTATTATGAAGGCGCGAAAAAGAATCGTCTCGTACCCAGGGCACAGTCTGGTCTGACGGAAGTAAAAATTACTGAAACGGTAAAACAAAAAGTGCACTTGACATTGACGCTCTTGCCATGCACTAACGTAACAACTGAAGACAAATCAAAAATGCCTGCTCTAGTGAATATTAAGCGAAAGAATCAACAATAAAAATACGCACTGGTTACTAACGAAACAAACAAACCATAAGACAAAAAGCTCCTGTACAAAGTACCATTAATCAATGGCAAAACAAAAGGCGCCCTTGTCAATAAAAACCATGAGCACTCGCATTAATGGCGTGGTGGACATAACCTATCCTGAACCATAAAACAAATAGCGAGCTATTCAGTAACGACACAATCAAGCCATAAAACTAAAAGCGCGCTGGTTGCTAATAAAGGTAACAATCAGGGCCCAAAAAACAAATAGCGCGCTAGACAACGACGTAACAATCAAGCTGAACTCAAACAGCGTGCTGGTCACTAACGTAACAATCAACGAAAAAAAAAACGTGAGACAAAAAAAAGCAAAGAAACAAAGAGCGCTAGTGACCAACGCAACATTCAAGCCAAGAAAGAAACAGCACGCTTGTGACCAAACAAAAAAAATCAATTGCTAAAACCAAATATCGCGTTGATTATTAACGTAACACCGAGTTGACCAGTCTGGGCGGGCCAAAGCGTTTATCTCCTCGCTCCTTTCTATGAAAACACCATCGAATATAAAACGTACCCTCTGAAAGGCCGGTCATTTGTAAAACACAGGTTCTAATACGTATTGGAATGTTTCCTAGAGTTTGGAACTGTACGGTGATCTGTTAACAGGACGCGCTGCGCGCTTACAAAGTGACAAAGCCTAAACGCCAAAACTATTAAAGACATTAAGTGGAGTCTAAAAAGAAGGATACTTCACTGTTGTTGTCGACTGCAATGATATTATTCTACGTCCTCAGCT